CTTCCCTTGAAAATTAGTTGTCAACGCAAATGTAGATCTTAATGTACCTTATACTCAATTAAAATACCTTAATGTAGAGTTGCATATTTAAAATGCCTATTGCTAAAATGGATCTAACTAAATTATCAATCTAGTAATTTAGGCCATCATCATCTGTCTCAACTAAAGACAAAGACAGTCTCAGTTTAAATTAAATCCTCAGTTTAAAACTCTTCATCCTCGTAATCCACCTTCATCATTTTTGAAATATCATGTTTATTAGACAAGGATTAGGGTTTTTCTTTTTCTTGTTAAAGATCTACATAGATTAGGATCATGGTGATCTACTTCTCTAGATGTATTCTGCGTCTCTGACAGGAAGCGGAACAAGCTGTTGAGCTTCATGAGATGTTCTGGCCCTTCCGCATCCAGCGCATCTTCATCCCGAGTCAATAAGTCGCATGCGTTATGAAAGTTACAATTGTACGTAACACTTCCTGTTCGAAGCAATCAACGTTTTTACTGATTGTACCAAGAGAACTGAGAATACAGAAGTGAAATAAATACGTCATTGATTGACAAGGACCCATCTCTGGCCCTGCTCTGGTAATTATATTCTTATCATTCCGCTAATTGGTACATTGATGATCTCCTGTGCACATCAAACCATCCCTGGTGATTTTCTCATTTTATCATTCAATCAATAGGAGCAAGATCTAACCTCTTAAACCCCCTACAGATGCGCTCATTTGCGATCCATCTATTGACATACATCCGCGAACTCATAATAACACTCTCATTTCTTCTACACTCTTTTATCTTTTGCACGCATACAACGGATTAAAAAGAATGATTCCAGAAACATTTTCAGTCAACAAAATCATAATAGTGAAACTTCAAATTGTTTCTGGGATACAGGATGGCTTGCAGATCACGTACATTATTGTACCTCATGTGTACGTCATTAACATAGCTTCTCGATACATTTTATATTACTCATCCAACTGAAGAAAGATATGGCATAACTCGTTGCATCTTCGACATCTGTCTGCCATTACTAAAAGAACCAAAGATGCTTATTCACTTTATTGTTTTATTGTACACTCACCGGGAACGCTAATCAACCTAGACACCTGAGCCAGCTAGTCGCCTCCTGGTTGCATTTGAAACAGAAACTTGGCCCAGCTTGTCAGCCTCTGTTGATATCATCCGCTCTCTAAGTGGCTGGTAGTGTCGAAGCCATACACCCGTGTAGACCTATACAATCACAAGAAGTTGAACGGAATGAGAAATAATTAATTGCAGATATTTAAGTTCTAGAGATACGACATTAGTTTTTTCGGGTTACTTGAAGATAGACCCCTCGTACTATCGCCCAACTGTGGACCTGTAGTTCTATTGTTGTTGGTAGGCCACTTGTAGTTCTATTGTTGCAGTAGACCCCCAGAGTGATTTTTTTGTACCCCTTTACCCTCATAGAATGAAAAATTTGCTTTGCGACAAATAGAACTCCTGAGGGTAAAAGAGGCAAAAAATAACTTAGGGGATCCATCTGCAACAGTAGAACTACAGGACATGTATCCTCAATTGGGCGATAGTACAGGGGCTACATCCACAATTAGGCCTAGTTTTTCCACTGCAAGAGAGAATTACGTTATATACTCAACTTAAAACATTTGCTTGAGCTACACATTCAAACTCCTAAATTAACCTCTTTGGAATATTGAGTTATAGAATATAGCGGCTACCTGCACCATTTCATCATTTCTCAGGCTAATTACGGTGAGAACTAATTTATATAGAAGATTGAAATATTTGCTTGAGATGCATTTTTAATGCTGCTAAATTAAACTCTTTGAAATTTTATGTTATAGAATAAAACAATCTCCTGTGGGGTTAAGTCCGGTGAGCTAGCAATATTACAATGTCATTCAATCACAGAAAGTTACTTAAGACAACGATATGTTTAAGACAACACGTGAAGTATCCATTGGAAATTAAATGTGCTGAAGACTATACTGCCACAGTAGTTTTCTTCCTCTACAGAAACTAATTCATATATCAATTGAAATGTTTGCTTGAGCTATTAGTTCAAACTGTAAAATTAACCTTTGGCATAGTAAGATAACGAACATAACAATCTCATGCATCATTGTTTGCTAATTCTGGTGATATTGTGATCTTACAATGACAACTCAAAGAAGATAATGAGCAAAATATCCATTGTAAAACTAACCTGCTGTGGTCTCATGATCTTCATATCAGGATCATCTAGTGATTCTCGCCAGTGCGATAAATACCCAGCCATGCGAGGGATTGCAAACAAAACAGGGAAGAACTCCGTTGGAAATCCCATTGCCCTGATTCATGATTTGTCAGTTTGATTGCAACAACTAAAGGAAATAGCAATATTCCCCAAGACATACCTATAGATTAAGCCAGAGTAGAAATCAACATTAGGATACAGCTTTCTTTTGACGAAGTACTCGTCTGACAATGCAGCTTTCTCCAGTGCAACGGCCACCTGGATACAACATGCTTATGACTTGAGTCTTTGCAAGAACAAATATTACTCATCAGTTCCTAGTACTAATCAGTATGTTGATTCACTGGGGGGCTTTAGTTCTAGGCACATTTAGCTACTCTGGTGTCCTTAACTCCAGTAAAATAATGAGTGTGAGACCACACCTACAAACTGAAGGGAAATCAGTCTGCTTTAATCTTCAGATATCATGTAAAGCATAAATCTTGTACTGGAGCAAGTGCATAACAGTATAACACCTTTACTTTCATCCATTTAATAAATTTCTGCTACCGCACTCTAATCTGATGTTAAAACATATCTACTAATAGATACCAAATATACATGGATTACTTCTATTTCTTCCTCTAAAATTAGAGAACTAGTGCCATTTCATGGAACTGATATGAAAAAGAGATAATTATGACGTATATCTTTAAGAATTAACAGCTAGGCACATAACATTATAACACATCAGTGTTACAGGGTAAGCTCCCAATATAAATTCATGGAAATAAGAAAGAGATGTCAACATAAAATACCTCAATGAGGGGATCATGTCCAACAATTGAGAAGACTTCCTCTGCTAGCTTTTTGATGACCTTGGCTCGAGGATCATAATTTTTATACACGCGATGACCGAAACCTGACATCTTTCGTTTCCTATGCAAATATTTTTACAGAAAAGGGGTTAAAATTCACCTATATTTGCAGTTTAAGTAATTGTTAGGTTGAAAAGCATGACTAACCTGCTTTTAACACCTTCAATGAACTCTGGAATATTCTCAACTGTACCTATCTCATTCAGCATTTTAAGCACAGCCTGCAGCGAGAATTAGTGAACTCACACCTTTCAGTATCCAAAAGAGCTAACAGGTTGTTGTGGATCAAACAGGAACCACAACGCTTTTGATTTTGGCTGGGGATGGGCTACTTAAGGTTCGATCAACATGTAACAAAATCGCTATAGCATAACAAGGTACAAAGGCTACCATATTTTGACAAGTAGCCACATTCGCTTTCAAGGAAAGAAGAGTTTGGATGCCTCAAACAGAGTTTCAACTCAAGAATATTACAAGAAAGTAAGGAATCACTCCAATGCTAATCTAAATCATTATATCTTCATTTATAGTGACTGGCTAAAAATCAGATCTTGCACCTGATCCAATACATACGAATGGTATCTTGGTCAATCCAAAACTAATTTCTCAGACAAATAGCTCCATATTTTCTCGATAAAAAAACATTATAAATCATGTCTAGCAAATACAATGTTCTCATGATCATGAAGAGATAAGCTGATTCCATGGCTCAGAAAAATGGCAGGCGGATGCGACAAGGAGAATTGACAGAAGAGAGAAAAATGGTTAGCCAATTCAGAATCACATGCCTCTTCCCTGAAAAAGGAATCATATGTCTAACTAATTTCATCCTGACCATCAAAAGTAAATGCATGAGCAGATAGCAAGCAAGAAAAGGGGGCAAAGACTGGATACTAATACAAGACTAAATATCTTGCCTCATTTGCTCCACCATGAAGGGGTCCATACAAAGCTCCAACAGCTCCAGCAAGAGCAGTATACACATCCACCCCACTGCCAGGTGATATTTATCAGATATAATATAGATGAACACAGAATTGTCTAATTTGGAGTTCTTAATTATCTTGCATACCTTGAAGCTAGATGCCTTGCAGCAGCTGTAGAACAGTTCATTTCATGTTCTGCATGCAGGATAAAAAGAATATCCAACACTCGGGCAAGTCGAGGATTAGGTTTATAGGCCCGATCACCCCTAGATTATACAAAAGAGTGAAGCTAGTGAAAGTCCAGTGTTCAATGAAATCAAACACGATAGAACCAATTCCCCTATTGAGGAGGAAAAACTCTACCCTCAAGGGAGAAAATGATCTTCAAAGTAAGAAGGGTGTGCACAACTTACAATGAATCCAACATGTACAAGAAGTTTTCAGAATAGGAAAGGGTGCTGGAAGGAAGCACTGGAGGCCTTCCAGCCAATCTCAGATATGCAGCTGCAGCAATTGTAGGTGCCTGCAGATATACAGTTATAATTGATTAGCAGGAAATAAATTCAGTATGTGTTAAGCTCCAGAACGACTTTCAGATTCCTCTTTGCATATCAAAAAAGACCAGTCACCCTTGCATACTGCATCATATAGCTGTGAGTCAAGATATTACTCTAACTGGACTGAAAAAATTTGAGTCATAGGTTAGAAATTCATACATAAACTTACACATCCAAGAACAACCAAAGATTTAAAAGTTAAAAAGGAAAGTTCTTGTACAGTGTAGAGGAGAATGCAACATTTTACCTTTCCCAGTATCCGAGCAATTTGCTTGTCTCTCACTTGCTTTGATTTATAAAGATCTTGGCCCTACATGATGAGAAAAAGCGTCCTTTAAATTTCTTAGGATTATTTAGATAGACAGATCAACTTATATTTGTCAAATTTGTTCTACAAATAACACCGGACACCAAAAAAGGTTGTTGTTGTTATTGTTTTGCGCATAAAAATAAATGAATCCACAAGATTTCAGCAATGACACTCAAAGATTAGACAGCTATCTAGCAAGATCTCACAGGTCACTAGGGGGGAGGTCAAGAAGAATAAAATCAAGAAGTAACTCTTGATATATGATTAATATAGTACAAGGTTATGATCTTAAAATGCATCATATGAAATGTTTGATTGTCACAGAGTTTAATCATTACAAAACAATATGATGATAACAATTTTAAATATGAATAGAAAGTACGTTAGAAGCCAATATAAACATGCATCTAAAGATTACATTAGAACAGAAGGAAGAGGTAGTTCAGAAATAGTCGTAGAGACAACAAGAATGTCCAAAGGTGTGAATTCTTTCCTTCCACAAGAATTGATGTTGAATCGAACAGTTTGAACTAGAAAAACAACCAAAATAGACAATCAAGTTACATGAGACCCTTCAAACATACAATTCCGGAGCTCTAGTTTACACAATGTTAGATAACAAATACTTGAAGAGTATCGGATGAACTCAACTAGGAAGTTATAGCATTTTAACTGTGAATTTCACTACAAAGTTTAAAATGTAAGGATGTCTAACACTGTCATAGGGGTTGATGAATCAAGAGCGATAAACACAAGTAAATATCCCCACTTTTATGCTAGCCAACAACAAAATTCAGACTGTCACAACTACTATGGTTATCAGATTTTGGCATTATGGACTCAGATGAACTTGCTTCCTCATTCCCATTTTATGGCGCTACCTGCACTGTCATTCTAGTACAAAACAGCTATTCTCTTTAATTATTTTACTCAATGAAATAGTTTAATAAACAACTTTTACTCTTTTCCACTAGTTTTCTGTTTGCATAAATTAATACATGCACATACAATGCACATATCCAGAATATACGTTTCTTGATAAAATATGAACTATCTCCAAAATCAATATGTAACTTGTACTCACTCTGAGAGCAGGATTAGCATCTGGATGAAATACAGAAAGTGCACTCATAGCACTGACTAATACACCCATTGGGTGAGCATCATGAGGCATTGCTTGTATAATATCCTTCAAAAGAAAAAAAAAAACAGCAGCTTATATCAGTAACAAGAAGAACACATCATTGCATAAGGATGCAGAAGTAACCAGCAGGTAGAATGTGCTTAAAAAGCATAGAGTAAAATGATGACACTATAGTGCAAAAAACAGACCAGAAGACCCTGTGGAACCGCAGAGTGCTGAGAAATTGCAAACTCCCAATCAGCCAACTGGCTCTGAGAAGGCAGATTTCCATACACTGAAAAGAAAGCAGATTAGGAGCAGAACACAAAAAGGATATTCAAGTACTTTACTCAAATATGTCAGTAAAAAAAGCTTACTTAAGAGATATGCCACCTCAACAAATGAGCTACTCTCAGCTAACTCTTCAATTGGGTAGCCTCTGTAACGCAAGATTCCCTCATCTCCATCAATATAGCAAATAGAGGACCTAACAGGTGCGGTATTGAGATAACCGGGATCATATAGCTTAAGTCCCTTGTCATTTTTTCCAGTTGTTATCTGCAATATACCATATAATATAATAGTTAAAAACTTGTAATGACTTCCAGGTTTATAGGTACTTTCATGTACAATGGAGAATCTAAACGAATCACCACCAGGTCGCTCAAACTCCTTATCCACACGTATTTATTGGGCGTTCTTCAGAACTCCAAGTTGATGCTCCTAAGGAGTTGGGGAATTCTGGTGTAGGAATTTTAAGCTAGTGATTACTTTATTCCTTGTATGTTTTCTCCGCTTCTCTCTTTTTGTATAGCTGATGCCTTCCCTCGCTTTCTCTTTTCCTCTTCTTAATACCTCCCATTTTAATTGAAATATATTTCTTTTTTTTTTTAACATTCAACAGAAATTTGGGTAATCCCCTTGGCCCTTGCAACTAAATGAAGCCAAGTTAAAATCGACAAGAAGAGACCAAATGCAAGTCTAGTACAATATTCCTAGAAGTTGAACAGAGTAAACTTAGCATACTGACATTATACTGTATTAACTATAGATTTCCCATGCAATAATAAGGTAAGATTAAAGTTACTAGAAACTGAGACTAACATTCAATCTTCGCCCCGTTAAGTCAGAAAATAGAGTCAAAAATTAACTTAAAAGTCCTAAATCAATGCGTGTTTAAACAGGAAAAGTATCAAAGTGCACCCGTGGCGTTAAATATGCACCAGATGAATGTTAGCTATTGGAACATTAAATTTCGGGATTCAGGCACAGATCCACGGGTTGACACGCGCACGCTTAATATCATGAAGCATCCCTACCTCTTATTACTTCCTCAAACTTTAAACACTCTTTCCCGCATGCGTTTACCCCCTTTAACTTCACACTCACTGCACTCTGAAATCAATTGTAGGATATAAAAGCATGGGGACAATTAATTTAGAAGATAAAATCGATCAAAACAGTAATCATCTCGTTGAAATCAGTACACTACTGATTGGCTCTTATCGCTGACTAGATTGGATTATTCTAAAATTCCAACGCCACCTAAGAACACAACCTTACAGCATACCATCACAACAAAACTTAAATTACGAGGAATTTTTTTTTTTTTTGGTTGGGGGGGGGGGGGGGAGGGGGGGTGGAGGGGGGGGCGGGCGAATTCAGTCTTCACCTTCTTAAAGTCGGTAGCTTTAACAGTCCCGTCGCTCGACAACCTTGACCTCGTACTTCTTCCAGTCCTCCATCGATTACCGTCAATGATCCGGCGAGATTCCCGGAGCTCCGGCGATCTCCTTACCCAGAACCGGCGACGCCTCGAGAACCTCGGAGATCGCCGGAGGCGGCGACGAGGGGCGGAGACGAACAGCCAGGCGGCTGCGAGCCAGAAACGAGGGATCTAAGTTGCGATTCATTGAAATTCCAAGGGATCGATTCAAACCCTAAATCTAGAGAGAGAAACGAGAGAGAGAGATTGAAGGAAGTAGAGAATTGGGAAGTTCCAAGGGAAGAACGAACGTGTTGGTTTGGGGTCGTTTCGTAATTTATAGCTCACGTTTTGCTTTTGTAATTGTCGCGAGTGGATATGATTAGCTTGAACAAGCAACTGGGCAGGGGACCGGACCAAGAGACCTTGTTTTGGGACTCTAATCATAGCCATTTCGCTTAAACAGTTGTTGACACGGACTTATAAAACCACCATGGTTCTATTTGGAAAAAAAAAAACTAATATTTCATATTCTCAAAATCAAGCATGCGCTACTTAAATAACCAAAGATTTCTTTTCGCAGGGAAACAAAACAGAATTTCTTAAATCAATATTTTGCATGTTTTATATACTACAAAAAGTTTTGTTTACGAATCACCAGAAATGATCCCTCATCTATTAATCTAATATCAAAATAATTATAATCTTTTGACTAATACATTTGTGTGAATATTTGGTTATGAATTTGAATATTTGATCCGTGCCTATCTTCTAGGAAAAAAATTAAAAAATATGTCATATCTAATTTTTATATTAGTTCTAATGCAGTAACATAAATAATATTTAAGGAAAATGATAAGGGCACACCCCCAACCACAACTCCAATCACACACTCTCTCTCATTTGTTACAGTACACAGGGCCTCACATGGGATTTTAAAATTTTAAAATCCCATGTGAGGCCCTGTGTACTGTAGCAAATGAGAGAGAATGTGTGATTGGAAGTGTGGTTGGGGATGTGCCTCTAGTACCATTCAATATTTAAACATTTTATTTAGTTTAGCAAGAATGGAGCGTGTGCTTGGGGGGACAATTTTGTGGGTGAACGTAGTTGGGGGGACATTTGGAAAGTGCTGTGCGAAAACCAGCGAAGGGGGGATGCCGTCTCGAAATGCTCAAGCTATATAAAATGGGCGTGGCGTCCTGGGGCGGATGGTTGAATTACGTCATCGGTCGTGACAATTCCCATATCTTAAAAGAAAAATGCCTCACGGTATCCTAAAATAGGTGACTTGACTGCGAAAGAATTAAGTGTCGCCTATCTGTCCCTTGATGTATCGTTTGTATATAAATAATACGTCACGAAACAGAGAGACGACACCTCATCTGTCCCATGCAAGGTTCCCTATTTTGGGTTCCCTATAGCAGCACTCATCTTAAAAAGGTCAATTTCAAAAAAGCCCCTTAACTTTGAGGGATTTTAAATGTTACCCGTTAACTTTATATATTGCAAACCCCTGAGGTTAAAACGTTTCCAGCCTAAACTCACCTATAGGTAATCGAAAACTAAATTAAATATTCTTAATAGATGAAAGCACTAGTTATTTGTCATTTACAAATAACTTACCCCTCTCACAATTGAGGATTTTTTTCTCTTTGTACACATTTTAATTAAACCTCCAAGAACTTTTCAGCATTTAGTGGTAAACCCTCAATAAAAACTTTTAATATCTTTTGGATTAATTATGTAGGAGGGCTAGGAACAAAAGTATGAACTTGACAACATTTGTGGGACTCCCCGAAGTCCGTAGGACCCTGTGAGATAAAAAAGCTCGAGAGAGAGGTTTATGTGCAACTTAACCCATACACAAAATCAACCGCGAGGGTCAGGAGGTTTTGTGAAATTAGCCTATCCACAAAACTTATAAACTGCGCCCACCTACGACATAAAGGCCAAATTACCAAATTTTCATTATTAGTAAAATAACTTTTCCATTACTATTTTTATTCCTTCACTTGTGACGTTATTAATAATATTTCACGGTTTCGTTATTGATTCTATTGTATCAAATTATACCAAATTGAAACTATCATAATGAAAATGAATGGAAAAAAATTTCATATTGAAAATATGGTCCTATTAAAATCACCAATCAAGTAATATAGCCATACGATAAACCAGACTTCCTAGTAAAACCCAAAATAGGACTCAAAACTTTCAAATAAACCAACATTTTCCTATATTTGATCTTTTTTTATCATCTTCATGAAGACCGCAACATATTTCAACTTTAGTCCACTTCAACAAGAGACTAGCTTATGTAGGGGTGTCCAAAAAGCCCGCGGTCCGGGCTCGGGCGGGCCAGAACCCGGCTCGGCCCGGGGTCGGCCCAGAAATCCAGGCCAAAACCGGGCCCGGTCATCGGCGACCGGCCCGGGCCCGGCCCGGAATAGTAACTTTTTTTTATTTTTATTTTTTATTTCAAGTACGCATAATGCGTACGCATTCACGCATTGTTGGGTTTTTTTTCAAAATTCCCGCGATGATTAAATGAGTCTCGTGATTATGCCGACATGGACTTTTTTGCAAAAAATCCTGCATTCATTGCCCAAGTCTCGTGATCAAGTACGCATAGACTTTTTTGCAAAAATCACGCAATGATCACGAGACTCTCTCTCCCTCAAATTAATTCTCGTGATCATCGTTCTCTGGAGACTCTTTGCAGTTGGCCATCGTTGTCGGCATAGCGGTGGGCTGCGCCGCTCTCTCCCTCACGATTGCCGGGATCCTGGTGACCAAACGAGTCAAGAATCGCCGGAAATGGTTGAGGATCCTCGAGATTCTCACGAAGTTCGAGGAGGGATGCTCGATGTCAATGTCGAGGCTGAGGTGGGTGGTGGGCGTGATGACCGTCGAGATGCACGACAGGCCTCGCCTCCGACGGCGGAAGCAAGCTCGGCATGCTTCTCACTTTCGTCGATAAGCTCCCCAGTGGGTAAATCTCTCTCCGCCGACGCCGACCTACTCTCTCCGCCTACACCGACCAACTCTCGCCGCGGCCGCCGACCAACTCTCTCTCTCCTCCGCCTCCGACCAACTCTCTCTCCGCTGCCGAACAACTTGACTTCAAATGCGTACCGACTTTGTTTAATTTTGAGAATTGATTATGATTCTAACAGAGTTTGTACTGATTCATGAGGAAGAATTCGTATTAGAAAATAATTTGTTCTAGTTCCTGATTTTATCAGATTATGATTCTTATTGGAAATTGTTGCTGACCTTGGATTGCAAATAGAGTAAGCAGCAGAGGTTCTGCTAGCCCAATTGACCAAACTCCGAGCCGAAGCAAAAGAGGTGACGATCAAAAGAAAACAAGAGAAGGCTGCAAATATGGATGCAATTAAGGAGCATTTGGGATAGAGAATGGACAGTCGGTGGACCTTAATGTGGTGCTTGATAAGCTTATGAACGATGGAGAAGGAGAGATGATCCAGCCTCAAAAGATTTGGTTTGGTCGGTGATTGTTTGTTTGTGCCTTGGCTTTGCGATTTGTGTATATACTCTCTTCGAATCTTTGTTGTTTGTTGCTTATTTGTGTAAGATTATGAAAGATGGCCAACTGCCCTTTTTTCATACGTGAAGGCATTGAAAAATTGTCCTGTGTAGGCATTGAAAAATTAAAACTGTTTATTTCTCAAGTAATTATTTATGATGTTTTTGCATATATGATTGGTACAAGTTGGAGACGATCTACTGTCAATATATGTGTTTGGATTTGGTTAATTCAGATATTGCAGATCCGAATTCATGGATCCTGGTAGTAATTTTATAAAATAGGATGACTATAGCATATCATGCGTTTTCTTTACAAAATTTTCTAGTCGGACAATCCAAATCATGGTAGCAATTTTATCATCTGAACTTCATCAAGACAGTTATCATTTCCAAAATTCCAATTGATAACTCATTTTGATCTGAAATTGGAAATTACACAATACAAAGTAGACATAAAAGTAGACATGCAGGTGCAAAAATTGCAGATTATATTGATATAGAATGGGGGAATATCCCAAACAAATGCTATATACAACTGATCAACGCATAGAACACCAGATATCGGGCAATAAGGAAAAAAACAAATGCCTCTCTCCACAACACTCTGCTCTGCATCCAGTAGAAATGGTGCGGGCCTGTGAGAATGGTCAACCAACTCTAGCTCTTTTGGTGCTTCAGTTGCCTTGTTGCTCTCATCCATAGCACTGGACTCAGCTTGAGCATCGCCAACCAGGTTGTGATTGGTCGGAGCTACTTTAAATATTTCTAGACCTAATGGTGCTTCAGTAGCCCGACCTGAAAAGCATGGCTCTTCATTTGCAGGATTCGCTGCTGCATCTTTGGAAGTGGTCCAGCATAGGATACGTGGCTCTTCAATGGCAGGAGTTAGTTTCGGGTCTTTATGTTTTTGAAATGAAATGAAAACTCATCAACCTTCCTCTTCTTGGAACTGTTCTGAGTGCTTTCAGAGGATTCACAGGGTTCCTATGTAGGATGACATGACACAAGCATCCAGTTCATGAATTTAAGGTTGTCCAAGAGTTGTAAGCATCCATTTTCCTGACAGGGTGACTGTTTGTGTGAAAGCAGTATTTCTTATTAATGGAAAACAGCTCTGTAAAAAAATAAAAAAGAAACTGCAAAGACATGAAGCTTGAAAACATGGTCAGTATATTACATGTTTCCATAAAGGATATAATCCAGTCATGCTATCCATGTTGGTAGCCTAACAAGCTTACAAAAAACCTATCACTCAGTACAGAATTCTCAACTGCACCAAAGATCTAATTTCTGTACTAATATCACATGTCTTGAAATCAAACTATCTTACCCTATTGTCTTTCTTGCTACCTAAAGCTATATAAGCAACAAAGATGAGCATCCAAACTCATCACTCAACTTCTAATGAAAAACAAACTTTTTGCTGATGCTTAAGAGCCAAACATTGATCATGGACTAAAACTAGAAGCTCAACATCCTTATCCTCCACATCCTTAAATCTAACACCATAAAGAAGTACTTCCCAATATAGCTGACAACCATTAACTACAAGCAATTGCTCTCTTTTCAGTATCTCTTAATTTATTGTGCAAGACACCTCATCCTTCATCCTTATGCTCAACAAAAAAGACTGCCATAACTAGACATGGTCAGCATTAGACATTAACAGCTGATTTAAAGAATCCACCACCACCTAAACTTAATCAATATCTTTCATAGTACACTCAAATTTCCTCAACATGCATCAATTTTCATAAATAGATAGACATAGCAAGTTTATCTTAAAGCAAAAACATCCTGTAGCACAAACACCCTGTAGCGGAGGAGGAGGGGGGCAGAGGGACCTCGATCTGGTCCTGGGACAGGGAGATCTCACGGCGGTGTCGTGCCGGCGTTGGGGCTCGCTGAGGAGGAAGGGGGGCAGAGGGACCTCGTTTTGGCCTAGGACGGGATGGGGATTTCACCTGAGGAGCTCGACGGTGAGATCGCGGAGGAGGAGCTCGACGGCGAGATCGTGGAGGAGGAGGCGTGAAGGTGGAGGAGGAGGTCAACGGCTAGATCACGGAGGAGGAGCTCGACGGCGTGATCGCCGCAGCGCAGAAAATGGGCGAGGGCCTGGGGAGTTGGGGGGGGAGTCGGAGGAGGAGGTCGACGGTGGAAATGCGCCGACGACGGTGTCAAGAGAGGGAGGAGGGAGGGTCTCCGACGGGGTGAGGGTTTGGAGAGAGAGAGAGGGAGGAGGGTTTGGGGAGAGAGAGGGTGATGGTCTGGGGAGTTCTCTAGGGAATAGTGGTCACGAGAAAGAGTGGTCACGAGAGGCTAAAATGGGTGGATAATTTTCAAAAAAAACCCTGCAGCGTATAAATGCGTACCCTCTCTCTTGGTAGGTGTTATTTTCTTGGTAGGTGTTATATTTTCTTGGTAGGTTATATTCTAAGTTTGATTTGATTCTTGGTAGGTGTTATTTTCTTTTGATCTGATCATGGTTTTGTTCTCGTCATGTATTGGGGATGATAGAAAGAGGGGATCCATGGCCAAGAGTTCCTTCAAGCTCGAGCACCCCCTCGGTTCGTCACGTTTTTCTTTAATTTCAATTTGATTTTGGTTTCTTTTTAGGGTAATTGTTGAAGTTGCGATCTTGGTTCTAGGATTTGTTTTAGCTTGGGGTTTCTCTTATACTCGATCTTGGTTGTTTGTTTTGTTGGATTATCTTTCAAAATTTGCAATCTTTTTTAGGGTTTCTATTAAAATATTTTAGAAATTGCAATCCTGTTAGTTTTTTTGTTAAAATTGGTTAAAGTTCAGAATTTTAGTTGTGGGGTTTGTTTTAGTTGCTGTCCTAAATAATTGAATTCACTGCAGTGAATCGAGATTCACTGCAGTGAATCGCCAATTTTTGTTGTCCTAAATAATTGAATTCACTGCAGTGAATCCAGATTCAGTTATGTGAGGTGTTTGTTTTTACCATAAAAATTGTAACTTTTTGCTTAAAATCATCAAACACGTTCTATAAATGCATGAGTGAATCTCGATTCACTGCAGTGAATCTCGATTCACTGCAGTGAATCCAGCTTGTTTTTACTTCAATAAACGCATGAGTGAATCTAGATTCACTTCAGTGAATCTCGATTCACTGCAGTGAATCCAGATTCAATTATGTGAGGTGTTTGTTTTTTACCATAAAAATCATAACTTTTTGCTGTAAAAGGTGAAAATTTTTCATGTTATAAAATTTTATAGCTTGTTTTTTACCATAAATTTCTTATTCTGCTTGGATGGTTAGAATGATTCACAAATCCAGTGGAGCAGCAAATCGATTAGAGTGAATCCAGATTCAATTCATTGGAGTGAATCTGGATTGAAGATCAATTCAGTGAATCTAGATTCAATGCGTTGTTGTGTTCTTCATGTGAGATTTACAGAGATCGGGAAGCGAGTTAGAGAGAGAGAGTATTAAAGAATGTAGCACTATTAATGTAAGAGAGAGTATTAAAGGACGTGTATTAAATTTGTATCATTGTTCCAATGTAATCAGTCACCATTAATGCAATGAATTGTTCCAATTTTACCATTTTCACATTAATGCAGTGTATTAAATTTGTCTATATTTACAATTCTGCCATCGAAATCTAGGGAGGAGAGAGAGAGAGATTAATAGGTATCCTTGTCATAGGAGGGGATTTCCCTCCTTGATGCCTATGTGGCATAATCTTCACCATCCTCATAAAGTAGGAGAAGATTTGTGCCTACTTTATGAGGCTGGTGGGGAGTGTGCCATATAGGCGACAAGGAGAGAAATCTCCTCCTATGACAATGATACCCATTAATCTCATATATATATTGAGCCCCCTCTATTCATTTGAAATAACCCAAAAATCAAAACTCCTCTCTTTGCTTTCTTCTTCAATCCTCATACTCGTTCCTTAGTTGTTGATTTAGAAAGTTCGGTGAATTGAAGAAGCAATCACGTTGTCTCTATTGTTCAATCCCATACTTTTGGCATGATGCATGTGGACACTACTCCCAGGGGCGCCGCTGAGGCGGAACTTCCGGTTCCGTAGAACAGGGCCCCCCACTTGGGGGGGCCCCTAATCGCCAACCGCCGCTCCGTCAAAGGCGGCGCCTTTCTCACCTCCTCCATCCTGAAGCGTCTTGAGACCATCATCGCCGTAGGACAGGCTCACTTGCTTTATCTCTCCCTCCCCCGCCCATTCCTAGGGTTTCAATTCCACCCCGAAATCCCTAATTTTTTTCATTCAATCTCATCCCTGAGCCCTAGAATCTCCTGCTGCAACCTCTCAAGAGGGGAATCGATCAGGCCGCGGTTGAAGAAGAAGGACAACATGTGGAGCATTGACAACGAGCTTGCTGAGAGTGAGAGGGAGAAGGAGAAGGAGAAGGAGAGGAAGAGGTCACCGTCTTCGTTTGGAAGGAGGAGGAAGAGGGGGAAGGCTGGGGGGAGGAAGGGGAAGAATGAGCTGGTGTTGATCTCGGCCGCAATGCTAATGGAGATCGAGGCTGTGTTGCAGACTCAGGTGAATTCTGTTTCCATTTCTTGTGGCGCTTTCTTGAACTGTAATTTTGCATTTTGAACTGTAATTATCAGCTCATTCATTTACTGCCCGGTAGAAAAAAAGATTGTTTATGCTATGTTTGGTTTATTTACTTTCATGATTTAAATGGAAATAGAATATATAACAAGGCTTATTTCAACTATAATACTCCAATGATGTAGCCCCTTCTTTTTAACTTCTAGCTTTGATACTCTGAAGTTCTGCATTGTAAATTGGTACCCCAATGGTTTTGAACTGATTAATTCGACAATTTGGTACCCCCAAAATTCCTAGCTTTAGTCCTCTCTGTCTCCAACCTTTAAAAAAAACATGAAACTTCAAAACCGTGTAGTAATTCTTAATTTTATTCTTGATTGATTTTTCAATGCCAAATCAAGAACAAATAATAGGTTCTTTGATGGGTTGCAATGTGAGGAGAGGAAGAAGATGAACACGCAGAGGAATAATTGGGAGCTGTGTTATTTTACACAAAGATCCAGTTACTTTTGAAATTTGAATAAAGAGTATAAAACTCCTCATTTTTGTGTGTAAAAGTTGTTAATTTCTATACAAATCCAACTAATCATTTTCGATGAGTGGTTTATATGTGATCACT